TATATTTATAATTTAATATATATATATATATATATTATTCTTTTCTTTATAATTTCAATCTATCTCTCTCTATTCAGCTGCTTCAACATTAATAATAATAATAGTATAGGCTAAATTTCGGGCCCGGGCCCAGGCTCGGGCTTCGGGCTTTTTATGAGGGCCGGGCTCGGGCTCGGGCTCGGGCTCGGGCCTTAAAAAAATTTGTTAATACACAGTAAAAGCCCGGCCCCGCCCATGAACAGGTCTAAACACAAGTAAACCCAAAGGGTAAAGCATGCCTCCGTTACTACTCTGGGGTCATGGACTATAAGCTAGCAAACACAGAAAGAGACATTACCACTTCTAAGGCTGGCCATGTTATAAGGTCAAATCATATTCTAGATATAGACCTAGATGCCATTTTGTTAAGGAAGAAGTCTCCAAGATTCTCTTGAAGTGGGCCATCAAAATGGGAAAAAGAAGTTTCCAACCACAAAATGGGGCCCTGGGCCGTTTTGAGGCTCTTGTGCATGACATGTTACACCATTAGTTCTTTCTTTGCCTTTGGAGGGCCAGTTTGGTTTTTAGGAATAGGGGTTTGGAATCGGAATCAGAATGAGTCATTCCGATTCTAACTGTTTGGTTGGACGGAATTGGAATCCCATTTAGCATTTCCTCATTTAAGGGAATGGCCATTCCCTCTCTTTCTCTTGGGAATAAAATCCCATTCCAGTTTATTCTAACTCACATTTCAATTCCTGTCTAAACCAAACAGATTATGGGAATATATCATTTTGATTCCAATTCGGGAGGATTTTGATTTTGATTTTGATTGTGATTGCGATTCCAACTATGAACCAAATGAACCTTAATTAAAAAAATGGGTAAATGATAGGCTGTCATCCTTATTTTGGAGATAGTGACATTTAACTCCCCAAACTTTCATTTCATTTGCATTAAAGGGTCCCACCCATAATTTTTAAATTCTATCACTTTACCCCATGCATCCTGTCAATTACCTACCTAAGAGATTTTCACGTCATTGTCATGTGCATGTTTAAACATTTCTAAAACCCCAAACTTCCCTTATATCATTTTATGAGACAATTTTGTAAAAAAAATGATAAAATACAACAAAAACAGAAAATAAATGAAAAATAGGAAATTGTAGATAATACAGGAAATACAACAAAAAATGAAGACAAAGAGGAAAATAAAACAAAATATAAGAAAACAAAAAAAAAATGAAGAAAAAAATAACAAAGAAAAAGAAAAATATAGAAAACACTGAAATTTGTAAAAGAACAAAAAAATACAACAAAAAGAAAATTGAAGAATACAATAAAAAAATACAAAACAGAACTTTGGATGTGCATTTTTGAAATATTTCTTTGCCATCAAGCCCATAATGGAATGTAGGCAAAGTACTAGAATCTGAAAATTCAAAGGCGTGTCTTTGTTACAAATAGAAGTTTACAAGGGGTTGTATTTGTACCCTAAAATATGTGGTAATCTATAATTTATCCTAAAAATATATTAATATATTGATTGCAATTACTTTACTCTACACCCATGCCAACGTATTTTGCACATGAAATTTCAAACAGAGCCCATACTGTTTTTCTCAGACAGCCAAACTTTTTCCATGAAAATCATGGTTAATTGAGTTCATGCAAGCCAGACAAATCCTTGAAAGAAATGCCATTTGGGTCCCAAAGAGATTACGCACCAAACCGAAAGTAACCAATTAATTGAATAGATGAGTTCATTGTTGTCTGCTGTATATTAATTATTAATTAGGGATTATTTATTGAAATGGTGGGGCCTGTCAAGTCATGTGTGTTAAGTATAAGACTTGTGATCTTGTTTATGGATGGAAAGATCTTTGGGGATCTTGTAGACCCCTTCTACTCTATACAACAGAGTAAGGGCCCATCAACCCAATAAAGCTGGCAGCCTTGAGTATACAACTTTCATCACGCAGCTGTCCAATAAGTGGGCTGGGCCATCTCTTTGGGTGGGCAAAATCATACATAGAATGTATACTAGCTAGAACACAAGATCTGTGTCCATTCAAATTTCAAAGGACGGCTTTGCTAATTCAGGTCTTGTTACGTTTCTGTGCGCGTAGATGGTCTGAAAATGAGTTTAGAAAATGTAAGTCTTCTATACTACCTATGAGGCTATGCCCCATATATTAGAGAGAGAGAGAGAGAGCTTTTTCAGGATGAGAACTCTACTTATTCTCATGAGCCTGGTTGATAAAATCACTGGATATAAAGTTTCTTTGCGCATCTACATTCCTTGAAAAAAGCCATATTCCAATGTATAATTGTGACTTTGACTCGAATATGTATGTATGACTTGATTAGCAAATGTAGTGGCTCATTGATTACTGTGAGTAGCAAAGTTAAACCAGTTAGATGTTTCAATTGTATAACTGAATTAGTTTAAAGTAAGAAGCAAATAGACTATTGATCATTTAAAGTGAAAAACGAAATAATAATAATAATAATAATAAAGTAATTGATCAATTAATAAAAGAGACAAATAAGTGAGGGGTCTCGTCTCCTACAGGTGTAACCAAAAGGAGAAAAAGAAGGCCCCAGACCTAATGGTAATAAATGAACCTTCACTACTTTTTGCAAAAGTAGGTTTAAAAGTATTAATCAGGGTTGTCACATAATAAAAAAAAAAAAA